GCTTAGTCCGTCCCCCTTCAGGTTTGTCTCCTCTTTTTGCAACCTGCGTCCCCTCCTGGGTCCTTCTTGCTTGCCATTGTTATCGGCAGAATACACTTTAGCTCTTGTTTATTTGTCTGTCTCAGTCTTGAATTTTCTTGCCCTCGGTTCTTATCCCACATATCGGTTGGGACTTCCGCAATGGATTTAAACCATATTGGTGCATTCTCCCCACGACATGGCTTTAATCTGTTGTAGTGAACAATTCTTGGTTTTCCCTTAAAACCTCTTTGGATCCGATATATGACATCACCGAGTCTCTTTGTGACAACATAGGGTCCACCCCATGGCAACTGGAACTTTGGGCATAAACTCGTCTTGGTTTAGGATTATACACCCAAACTGCATCTCCCTTCTTGTACCTCCATTATCCGCTGGTGATCATAATTGCGTTTCTGTCTGTCGCTTGTGTTCCCTTGCGTACTGGTAAACTCGTTCCAGACTCTCTTGAAGGTGGGTCACGTACCCTACTTTATTTTAGGGAAAGTCTTGCTTTGGCCTTTCGAAGGAATCTGTTGGTAGTATTGCTTCCCTTCCCATCATCATCTCACTCGGCGTGTAACCAGTTGTCTCGTGAATAGCCGTCCTGTAAGCCATGGTAAACATCTGTCCCAGTCCTTGTGGTTGTCATCAACAAGCATTGCTAGCATTGCTAGCTTATTCTCGTTCTATTCGTCCATTCAATCATCCCATCTGATTGCGGATGGAGTGCTGTTGTTCTTGTCGAGCAGAGCGCAAATCTCTCTGAACAGGTTCGATTCCAAGTTCTTCTCTTGATCGGTATGGAGTTGCATTGGAACTTCATATCGACACACGAATTGTTCAACAAACACTCTGGCAACTGTGGTAGCTTCTTGGCCAGGCAAAGCGTTGGTCTCTGTCCAATTTTTGAAATAGTCGCCCACAATCAAAATATATCAGTTGCCTCACTCCGTCAGCGGTAACGAGCCTAATATGTCCATAGCAAATCCTTCCATTGGCATTCCAACATTGTACGTCTTCGTAGGACTTCGTCTTGTCTTGTGTGGGGATTTTCATGACTCACGTACACTTGTCGCAGGTTGAACAGATGAGATTCACGTCTTGTTGCCATCTGGTCCAGTATTACAAGGCTGCTCCTCACTCTGCCCTTGTCTTGTTTTGCCCAAAATGCCCACAGGTCTTGTGACTGTGTAGTTTTGTAACGTGGTGCTTCCTTAAACTTTTTGGCAGTACAATTTACCAAGTCACTTTATCACCCGCAGGTGTTTCCCATCGTCAACATAAACTGTCGTCACGAACTTGCATACAATCCCGTTGAGACCAGTAGTTTTTCTCTTCGGCACTTTCGGGTGAAACATCAGATCAGTCCGGTCAGCCACAAAAGCCTCTTTACACTGAAACAGCTTGCCAATGCTTCGGTCTTTCTTCTGTTCATCTCTGATTTCTTGTCTTGTAAGTGTCTCTTCTTCCTTGTCATTAGCGACGTCAGTAGTTCTTGATGTAGCATCTTGCTTTTCGTCACTTTTCCACAGTGTGGGTTATCTGACGGGGCTGTCTCAAACTGTGCTTCGTCGTCTGTGCACCTGCATCTTTCTTTTCTATTCTGTCACGCTGCTGGCGCTCAATGCATGGTTTTCTTAATAGTCCATCTGCATCTGGCAGGATCATCTGCGTCCTTTGCAAAGATATCTTGATAGCTTTCCAGCATGCTTGCTAGTTGCCTCCATTGATTTCTGTCTAGTTCTTTACTGCCTGTCACAAACACTTGGTCTCACCGTCGCGCACCACTTTTGCGCTTCAGCGCATACTCTCGGTGACATGAGCGTCTGCATCATCAGATGTACAGTATAAGGAACGCAGAGAGCAATGAAATAACGACGCAAACTGCACCGCAGATAATATGTCAATCATGTCATGTCGCCGACAATGCAGACAAACTCAAACCAGCCTATCCCACCTTGGGTGCGTTCGATTAGCTTCCCTAAATACACCAGTGTTACATGCAAGGGAAACCTCAAAATGAGGCTAATCGAACGCTGCAGCGTATTCGCTAAGGCATTCTGGGGAAAAAGGTCAAGTCCCCGCCACGTTCCATCATGTACGTCCATACTCAAGCAGTCCATTCGTGACGTCATTACACTCGGGCACCTTCCTGAGACCCGCTCGCCATTGGGTGCGTTCGATTAACTTACACGTGTAAGTCAACCTTACACGTGAGCGTTTGTTTAGCCATCACGTGATCTTCGTGCCTGCCCTGGTGTCAGCCACCACTACCCCAGCTGGCGAGCGAGTGTGTGGGGGCTGCCCGCTTGTAATGACGTCACGGATGGACTGTTCGATGGAATCATGGCGGGGCCGTGACCTTTTTTTCCCAGAATGCCTAGGCGAATACACTGCAGCGTTCGATTAGCCTCATTTCGAGGCTTCCCTTGCGTGTTACACTGGTACATTCAGGGAAGCTAATCGAACGCACCCGTAGTACGGTTATGCCAAGTTTTCGCGCACAGATTTGGAGGCACACGCCGAAGAAGGTACGACGGTTGCGACACATCAGATGTGTTGCACAGCGCTGGATGAAAAGCATCCGCAAACGAAATTCTCAACGTCATCACACGTACCGGTGATAGCACCAACAATCAATGTATCACCGGTACGTTAATGGCTGCACGCCCTGATACTGGGTCAGCATCTGCTCCTCGATGTGGCCAACAAATAGACGTGCATAACTTGCTCCCATCAGCGTGCCCATGGCAACACCACTGGTCTGAATGTCACCGTTGAACGCGAAGTTGTTCAACGTGAGCACCAATTCAGCCAGATGGAGCAGAGTGCTGGTGGGAGGATCATGAGTCTGACAAAGATCTAGTGAAGGCAGCCAAACCATCTGCGTGGGATATGAAAGCGATTTCACATCCAAGGTGAAAAGAAAGTTGGATGAACCTTGCAGCTCAAATTCATCGAACGGACTTAGCGCGTGATTAGTATCCTTGACATAGCTGGGAAGCGTTTTGACAATGGGTATTAGAATGGTGTCAAGGAAGTTGGATATCAATTCAGTGGGACAACTACAAGCAGCCACGATGGGGCGGCCTGGATTTCCGGATTTGTGAATTTTGGGTAGGAAGTAGAAGACTGCCGTGCGTGGGTTGGGAACGACCAGTTTGGTTGCGTTAGGGGGAGGTCACCTGAGTCAATTAAACCTCGGACAGTGCTGGCAACAATATCTTGATGCTCTTGTGCAAGGTCGCGGTCAACCTTAGCGCAGGACGCAACAACGTCAGACATTCAGACGTTCCGTATCAGTGACATACAAGTCCTTACGCCGGACCACCTCTGTCGCGTTGTGCCGTCGCGTTGTCACGTCTGTCTTGCCGTTGCGTCGTATCGTCGCTTCATACTATCTCATTGTGTAGTCGCGTCGTGCCATTCCCCCTTGGTGTCGCCGTCCCATCGTGCTCTCGCTGTCGCCTTATTACTGGTGGAAATAGGGGGCCCCCTGATAGGGACGGAGTTATGTTCAATACCAACAGATACCATTTTTCATGATCAAATCTTGTTGGCCCTATGGGTGTATTCCACCAATTGGTTGGACTTCTTCGCACGAGCTCATTAGTATTTTGTGATCCCACGGGTTTTTACAAAAAGACATGCCATCAGATGGAGCATAGGTATATTTCAATGAATCATGAATTTGAGACTTTCAGTTTCAGGGATATTTCTTTCACAAAAAGCCCAAAAATGCGGTCCTATTTTGGATGGAGGCGGGCGGCTACATTCAGAGCTGAGCGCATAGTTTTACTTCTATTTTGGGGGTATCTTCGGCGAAAGGCAAATAAAAATTTACGTGGCTAATCCCCATAAAATTGGGACGAAAAGTGATCTTCTGGCCATAATCTTGAATTTCTAGTGAAAAAACGGAGGCCAACCTCTTCCCGAGGGTCACTAGGCGGCGCTATTTCGGTCTGATTTTGCACTGCTTTCTACTAGTGTAGTGCAACCCCTATGCAAGCACGCACGCACATTATTTCCTCCAGGACCTGAGACATACGCCCTCTATTGGCCTTAGTAATCATCAGGCGTTTTTAGAACAGTAAAGAAGACACGACGGCACGAGTGAAAAAAAGACAACCAAAGAAAAAGACGAAAAAGGTCACTTTTTGTTTCTAATGATGATTCTGAACAAAACGAAAGTAATTTTGTTTTCAATTTTAATTTAATTTCAATTTCGTTCGACTGCACACGTAATGTCGAGCAGGCGACATCAACGTCTTTGAGCACTTCTTCTCAGGATGAAAGTTGCCGTTTTTCAGAATGCCAAAAAAGTTCCTTGTGGGCTGCTCTTTCTTTCATTCAGAGACAACTAATTCTTCTTGTTTAGCCATGCTTTATTTAGTGGGTTAAAAAGACGTTTCTTACATTACAAAGTGAAAATGGAACTGTTTTTCATTCTTCAAAAAGTGGATCAATAGGTTGTGATGTTACTCATTTTCACATTGAAAAACGGAAAACGAACATGATTGCCGTTCAAAGTTTCATTTTTTTCAGGAAGCGACTTGCTTCTCTGTTTTGTAATTTTATTTTTTAAATTGAAAAACGAGATACGACACGTTTTTCTATTTTCGTTTTTAAATCGAAAAACAGAAAACGACTTCTTTTTTGGTTGTTTGATTTCGTTTTAATCGAAAAACGAATAATATGAACGAAACGGGCGCGGACCTATTGTACATGTACATGTAACATGTACTGTACTGAACATGATATTGGACTGCGCGTATCTCGTCCGCACACGTACACCATACCATCCTCGAGTAACTACTGATGTTAGGCGAGGGCGCCCATGAGGTTAGTTGGTGAACAACCCTCCATCCCTAGCGATACCAGACTTCGTGGAACACGTTTACCAGTGATTGACAGTGTTGCTATAGCTCTTACATAGCAACCGGCATAGCTACAGGACAATTTGCATGAAACTAATAGATATTTCTACCTCCGTGATATTACCACTACCAGGCATCATAGAGATCATACTATAAAGTTAATCAAATCCACACGTCCGTTGTGTTTTTTTTCATTTTAAGTAGAGAAGATGTATAATCTATTTTATTTCTTTTTTAACGTCAATTTTTTGTTCCACTGGTTGATCTCAACGCTGAGAGCTGAGGGCTCGTTTGCCATTTCTATTCTATCCTATATGCGGGTGTGAGCTGAGACCATGGAGCCACAGCATGTGGAGATTGAGCCGCGTATTGGGTTATGTGACCAGCCAATACGATGGTAAAATAAAGAAAGGAGAATACTACCCAATACTTTTATCAGCTAACCAGTTGAATAAGAAAAACCAGCCACGAATTTACAGAATATGCAATAGTTACCCAAACAGTTGTTATTTACTTAGTCGCAGCTCGCTTGAGCTAGCTAGCTGCATTGAGGAATCACAATTTTGATACACAACACAAAATATGGTAAGTGTTTTGAGTCGAATTCCTTTCTATTCTGACATGCATCCACAAAATAATGTCACCTGTTGTATTATCTATATGATATGCCAGGAGTTGTTGTTGTTAATGGGTGGACAAAGAGGCCACGTGTCTCAGATTTCTACGCTGAAATTTGCTGAATTGTCATGTCGCGTCGTCAGGGAGAATTGTCATTGACATGTACATGTAGGCCTAAATACAATGTACACTGTACATGTACTGTACAGTACATGTACAGTACCGTAGGCCTACCCTTCTAATAGTATACTCTCAGTATATACATCATGTAGGGCCGTGTGGTTCCTTTATGGAGTTTGACAATTACCAGATCATGCAGTTATATCTGCTAGTGTGTAAACACTCGATGACAAAAACCCACTGTAAAAATAGCAGGCCTAATCCTCAAATTGAGGCTCAATATTTCATGTTAACTTTGTGATCCTCTTGTAGTCAAGAACTTTCTCTCTCAAAATGTGGACTAAGATTAAGAAATTGCTTTCTAACACCTGAAAAATAAATTGGAAGGAACAATGAGTCGGAGAGATTCGCAGTCAAGTGGTAGTGGCTTTGGTGGAGGATGCAATTTCGCAAATCAGTCCTCAAAACCTTTGAACTTTAAGTTCTCTTCCTCTTCCGGTAAACACCCTCTTTGATGGTTTTATGCAATCATCTCATTAGAGAGGCTCTGAAGTTCTGAAGCTCTGAAGCAAGGTTGACCAAACTTTACTGATAATTTCACTTAAAAAAGTGTTAAAATCATACCATTTAACGTCACTAATTTTTTTATGGGAAAACTGACAAATATTGTCAAAACATCGTAAAAACATGAAAAAGACCATTACGAAGAGGAGAGAAGGTACATGTATGTAAAAGGCTAGACCTGTAAACAGGGCCCAACGAATACTCCTCCGTCGTATACTGGGCCCTGTCCCGATTAATAGGTATTTCTTTCGAAAATTTATCCGGGACTTCCAGGGGCATACATGTAACTAAATATATGTTTAATTTTTTTGAGCTGAAATTGCACCGCTATATTCACTACTTACGGTCTAAACTATCTGCTAGGTTGCTAATTGTAGAAAGCTCGCCTTTTCTTTGTTTGGAAGAAAAAGCATTTTTTTCCCTCAAATTGGTTTAAATTGGATTGGTTTAAATTGGATTGTAACAAACACAAATCTGTGGTCTTGGCAAAAACGTGCGCATTCCTATGGGGAGAAATTCTGTTACAGTGAAATCGCATTGTACGAAATTCCTGTCACAACGAATGGTTTTCGTGACTCTGTTGCCTAAAAAAACATCGATGACGACCCATTTAAAAAGTGTTTGCAAATCGCGGTGGTGAAAACACGTGTACAGTGCACTGCACTGGTTCTCCCCGGGCTGAAACGTTGCCAACGAAGGCATGATGTAAATGCGGCAACCAGTCAATGTACAGTTTCTGCCAAAAAGGTCGTATGTTCCACTACATTGAATGAAGCTCTGTAGTTGCCAGTCGAAAAACACTGCTGTCACAAATTTTTCTGCAGGTCCATTCACAAAAATTGATCTCATGTCTATGTTTTTGTTTTCTGTGTTCGTGTATTTAATTTGAAGATCAAACGAGCGTGTTTCCACAAAATTTCCAGCTGCAGCACGCGGCTTATTGCCCGCACACTTACAACGCGATATACAGACATGTTTGCCAGTTTCCTTTGGTCATGAGATGCGTAGTGCACAGCGATCCAATTGCAGTATTCCTTCATGGCATCATGCTCCTTCAGTGACCATCTCGGGCGTGGGCAGCCGTGCCGCAGGGGGCGAGTGAACACGGACTATCGATCTATCATATCATGCAACTAATGTCGAAAAACAAAGACGGACGGAAAATTGAATACTCTTTCTTAAATATTCTCTCTTTTGACTCTCTGTGACACAATTTTTGTTTGAAAGACTATTTACATGGATGGGGGCTTTAGTTAATGAGCCTTCACATTCTTGCAGGTACACACAGGCCTACATATGCATGCAGTTTAGTTACTGCTGTTAGCTTCGTCGTCATCTATGGCGATTGAAAGTCCTTTGAAAATCCCTGGATCGATGCCTTCACATGTACATGTATTTATTTTTTTAAATTCACATGTACATTAAACATGTTGTCCTATGACAGTGAAAATTCTAAACACATCACAGGGTAATCATAACAGAGATCTTTTTGATCAACCACGTTGTCCTCTATTTATTCCAGACAAACTGAAATACGAGCAGTGACAAGTGAGGAATCGGGTTTTTGCTTCTCTTTTCGTGTGGTTGGAAAGAATGTGAGAACAATAACAAAAAAGATCGTTGATTGCCATGGATGTCAAACAGATGTAGAGTTATTGAATCATTTTATAGTTCATAACACACATTCTTGGATTCAGTTAAATAAATTTTCACACAATACTTGCACATATTGTATATAAAGGACGAAAAAGACCCTAAGAGAGCACAAGGCTAGCACAAGCAGCATTTGCATTTTCTGATCCGCTTATAGAAATCTTCGGAAAATAAAGTCCAATGCGGACACGGAAGACCAGCTGATTTTTAGTTCCCAAGCTGTAGGGCTGTGATACATGTACATGTATACATGTATGTGCCCGTGAGCAGTCCAGTAAGCACTGCCTACAAGCTATTCCAAAACTGCAAACTCAATGGTCCCGATAGGAAAACAAAACCTTTTGACAGGTGGGTTGATGGCTGCATGCTGAAGTATCACATTACGTCTTATCCAGTGTTTTAGCCAGGAGGAAATTAAAGGATAGAGGCATCTGCTCGACTTGCTGGATACAATGGGGGGGACTGGATATTATCTGACACCCGAGGGCGGTGTTGAAAGTTTATTACGTTAAATATAACAACTTTGTTTTAAGCTCCCATTCAGTTGTACACTGACGTCTACCCCTTTTCTCTACTTTTGGGGGGGGCTTCGCTTTGTGTTTTTGTTTTGCATTTGCTAAGGAAAGGGGCAATGTCTAATAAATATCAGATCAACATTTCATTACTGCACAATTGTATTGTACATGTGTTTGTTCTTGTTTGAGATGCTCCATGGTACGAAATTGTTTGGATGTGCATCAATGAAAAATAACAGCTTAACAGGCCAACACCTCAGTTGTCATTTCATTTTGAAAAACTTCAATATGAATAGATTCTTGGGGTTTTAACTCAAAATGTATAATTATTCTATGTATACACATACAAAAACAGGCATGCCTGCTTGAAAATTAACTGACTTCACCTAGGCCCCTACCATTGTTTGTATATGTACTTTCTTGCTAGGTTCTAAAACTTTTGTCAAAAAGATTATGTCTATGTCACATGAACATTCTAAACTTATTCTCATTATCAGAAGGTTAGATGTTTGTGCCAAAAATAATTTTAAAAAAATGGTCTTGAAATAACGAACACCACTACCAAAAACAATGAATGAGAACGATTAATGATACTGAAATTATGAAGGAAATGTGAAGATCGAAAACACTGCAAGACTCTGCATGGATATGGTATAGTACCATGCACACACCGGCCACCAATACTGTGTGTGTGCCACGGTCTTACCAAAAATCATCCTCATGAACCATGACAAAGTATATCAAAATAACTATTGATATAAATGCATTAGAAGAAACTACAGAGAAAGACCAGGTTTTGTGACAAGTTAGTTGTAGCTTACTTCGATCAGTTTCCAAGGCAACACTATGAAAAGATCGGGCAACCACTGTGCTGCCAGCCATGCCATCATGGCTGAAGCTGTGCACAATCCGGAGCCCTAGTCTGGCTCCAGACCCGTCTACTCTTGTATTACATTGTCAGCAGTGCGGCAGGAACCAGTATTGTTCATGCTGCGCGTACGTGATTCTCCACAGAGCTGTGAAAACTTGGGTGTACAAGTACGTATTTTTGTGTGTGTACAACGTAGCTACATGTAGCTGTGCTGCGTTGTGAAGATTCGTTCGATTTCGGTGCATTTTGCTGATGTTCTGGTGACTTTTTGTCGGTGTTTTAAAAGAACTTTTTTTAATTTTTCTGATTGCAATTTTTCTATATTAACAATTCTTCCCCTGGAAAATAGAAGCGCGTCCATTGCAAATCGGGGCATTTTCAGCGTGTCAGGGTTTTTGCTCAGCATATCAGCCCGATACGCTTTTAAATGCCTGGCCTGGCCTTTTTTTTCACAAGTACGACGCCCCACGGACCGGACGTACATTACAATGTACATGTACACCCACACCGTACTTTCACATTCTTCGCGCTGGTCCCTGTGGCTTACGTTACGCGAGCGCCCATTGGCTAAACTTTGGTTGCCTAGTAATCTACTTGTTCTCTTGTCCAATAGTAAATCAGTGTGCGGTCACGAGGTTCGAAGACAGCGGTTTCTTGGCTGTGGCTTGCCTTTGGATTCAAGACAGCCGCTTCGCCGGTGGCTTGCACACGCGTTGTTTCCAGCCGTCAACGAACTTGGTTTTATTTATACTCATGGCTCTGCTTAAACTGGTTCCCGTTTCCTCCATTGTCTCGTGACGTGTACACCAGTCAGTCGAACGAAGGTGTTGGTTATTGGGACGGGAACCAGTCCAGGGCAAGTTCGTACGTGTACATAGTGTATTATACATGAACACTGTACATGGGGAGTGGGCGCGGTGTTGGCAAAGCACGCTGGCACGGTTCCGGGAGTCAAAATTCTACACGTGCATAAATAAATCTTGTTAGTGAAACACTCATGCTGTAATAGACAGACACACACAAGAAGCTATCCTTTTTTTCTTTGTTTTTTTATTTCAAACGACGACAGGACACACTCTCCAAGAACCCCCCCCAAAAAAAAATTAGGGTCGGGCCATCCAAAATAGGGTCGGTCATGAAACAGGAAACACAAGTTTTTTTTTTTGGCCTAATTATTCCCTACAACCTACATGTAGCTTTACATGTACCTACTAGGACTTTCAGCCTGATGTGCCAAAAATGCCAAATCGGGCATTATCGCTTGATCTGGAAGCAAGGAGGAAGTACCGGATGCAGCAGTGCTTGTTTGTGCGTTAACGCCATTACTGGCAATATTGCACGTTTGGCATGTCATTCATCCCAACGCTCAAAAGGGCGGTCCCATTTTACGCCTGATCGGGATGATTTGCGCGCATGTGCACTTCAAAATAAACTTCTCGGTTGCCATGTCTACATGTATGAATTCTTATTCCTCCATGCTATTTCCCAGTAAGCTGGTAAGTAAGTAGGCCTACATGTAGTATCAAAAAATGTGTTCTTTTATTTTGTTATCACTGGCGGAAGGCCCATCTGCAGATAATTTTAGCCCATACTAGCTTGTAGTTTTAGTGGATTTATTCTGCATTGGCCATGTATTACATACATCTAATACATATTCTTGTGCAATTGATTTGATTCTATTTGTACTATTATATAACTCTGTTGCCTTACCAAATGACTTACCGTTGGCAGTTGTTAATTTTCCTTTTTTTATCCTACAAAACAGTGATAAGCTATGAATACCAGGAGTCAAAGTGAGTAGGAAGGGCATGAAGTGGCATTGTGGTGCGATCACTCATACTGGCCAAGGTGATTTTCATCTTTATTCTGTCAAGCATGGAAAACGAATTAAGCAAGCTTTATTGCAGTGCATGTACTCACATGATTGCCCAATTTTAAGTAAAACAGCTGGGTTTGTGTGCTTTGCATGTGGTGATCCATCTTTAGTCTGTTGGTGGTGATGATCTAAGTACATGTAGTTCCAAAAGGATGAATGTGCTGGAACCTATGACAGACGGAATGCCTTTTCCTGCTGATAAGCCAGAATTGTCTGCCAATCAGAAAACATTAGTTTGAGCATGGGAATTGGTGGAGGATGTCACCACTTCAAGTCTGTTGGAGTCATCTGTCACCCAGGAAACATAAAAAAAACTGGCAGAGGATTAGGCCATATCCAGTTTGGACAGCATTATTCACGGAGACATTTATAACGTGCTGCTAAAAGAGAAAAAAATATATATGAAATATATATGATATGGGATCACTGACCACCTACAGATCGTGGACCTGGCTGCAGGATTGACCGAAGCCTGTAATGGTCCATCTGGCCAAGTTTCTAGGATACAATGAAGAAGCCCTGTAAGATGAATATAAACCCTGCAATGTTGCCAAAACGGTTTAGCAAACTTTTCATTCTGCCAGAAATTCCAGGCTTGTTTTACCTGTTGAGTTTTCGGGAAAACTTGCTTGCTTACAACATGTCCGGGAGTATTGTAAGCTCCTCGTTAATTATAATGGGTCAGTTTCTGTAGGCGGCTGCTTTAGCTGCCTGATTAATATCTTAAAGAAAGGTCCAAACGGGGTCATCCGTGCAGTTATTAACAATGAACAGGTGGTCAGCAAATGATATAAAGTTAGTTGGGAAAATAAAGTGCTGGTCTCAGTGGTCACAAGCAAAATCTACATCGTTATAGACAAACATGATCTTCAGTCTAGTATCTCATGTAAGCTGTCAACTTGGATGTTTGAAGAATCGTCCAAACAAGAAAAAGCAAACATCTAAAATGAAAGTACAGTTGATGATGAACTATTCAGAGAGTCCCACAATGACTTTCTTTGTTCTAGAATTCACGCTGTCGCAGATGAACGGAAGTCCAGCCACGATCATGATTGACGACATTTTGACGCAAATGGAAGTATGTGCTTAGGAAAAGTTTGCTCTGAATGTGGCACTGACAATGCAGCCTCTTGGAGGTACATGTACATGTACACTGTACTTTACCAACTGCAAAGGAATGTTGCTGAAAAAATCTGTCCGTTATGGCTGAATGCAAGAAACAGTCAATCCATATGAACACCTAAACTACACTGTCAACACCAAGGAAAATATGTGTAGGGTAACTATTGGAGAGTCTCAACTATTTAACCGGAATAGTTTTCAAAGTCTATCCCATGTATTGCGGAACATTGGCACTGAGACTGGGATTTACCAGGGAAAATATGTGTAGAGTAACTATTGGAGAGTCTCAACTGCATGTATTTAACCAGAATAGCTTTCAAAGTCTATCCCATATATTGGAGAACATTGGCACTGAGGCTGGGATTTCATGTCATGAGAGAATGGATTTGTTAAAGATTGCGATGGCGGAATATATATCCCATGATTCTTCAACTGATATTCAATGTACTTACCTTTCCAGCATGCAAGCAGTCTTTCTACAGGGAGAACTCATTTAAAAATCCTGATTGCTGCATTTCCAAGGGCATTGATGCTGAATGGGAGTTTGACTGGATCATACTTCTTCCCGTCCTTCTTCACTTAGAAATGAACACAGCAAGGGCCTTCTTTGACTTGGGCTGCGATCCCTTCCTGAAAGACATCGTTAAAGTCTTGCCATTCACTTCACCGTGGGCATAAGAAATTGCAAAGAAAGGGAGTGACTACCACAAATCATGGGAAATTGTGGAATACTTGTTGCTGTTACAGAGGAACAGCTTGTGCCGTACACAAACTCTACTAAGCACAGTGTGTTTGGCTACTGGGAAGACTTTGACCCAAACATCAAAGACCCTAACTACTGCTTACTGCAACAAGTAGCCCTTACATTTTTCCATTCCCTAATACTTTTCTGGGGTGGTATTCGTAAGGGAAATTCAAGAGCTATAATGCATAGCGTCTTTGGAAGAAATCACCTTGGTTATTGTAAGATCATGTCCGCCAACCAGTACATTATGGAGAAGATGCCCGACAAGGTGAAACAAATGGTTCTGAACTTTTCTGTGGGCCCCTAGCAGGGTGGTGATGCAAGCCTAGAAGAGGCAAACAAAGAGGCTAAATCGTGGGCACCACCAGGAGTGCTGACTGACGTACAGTGGCTATGAATATTTCAAAATTTGGAGGAACTGAACAAGGTAACGTTTCTTCCAACAGTTTATTTTTGAGAACATTTTAATTAATGGAAAGCATTGTAACTTTTGAAAATAGCTTGTTGAAAACATTAAAATGCGTGAGAACATTCAGAAACATTTATTTTTGAAAACGAATATTTAATGTCACAAAAGGGACAGTCAATACTATAAAAGACCTTTCCTTTAATCCATTTTCATGTGTTGCTTCATAGACCAATTTACATGTACAATCTGACAAGTGCAGCACATACGTAACAGATCAGAGAAAAAGCTCCTTTAGATGCTGACGTCAAGTGACTACTCGTGAGCTAGAACCAATATTTCAGGCTTCTACATTGAAATTGGAAATTGCAGTTTTTTCAGTTTCCCGGTTAACCTTGACACACCTCGCATGCCCCCAACACTTAGTGCCATCCGCCTCTACGAGATCACAACCAAGCCACTTATGTTTTTTGAATTTCTTGTCAAGTTCAGCATCCTCATGGGACTTAAAGATGACTCCACAGACTTGACACTTGTTGTTCACTGGTTCTTGTTGGTGCTGGCTGCAAACTGCCTTCTGTTTTTTACCTGGGAGACCCTGAATAGACGAAAAATATTGTGCTCATATTGCCTGTGCTTGGAGTATCAGAATATTGTAGTGGGTTGAGTTGTTTTGGAGGTGTAAAAACGATTTGTTTTGAAGCCCGCTTGGCCCTTGGCAAGCCAAATTCCTCCTTCACTGTTGGTATGGAAGTTGTTCCGGTCTGTACCCCTTGTTCCTGTCTGTACCGCCTTGCAGTTGCTGGGCTGAACCTCTTCATGAAAATAGGACTGGTAGACCCTCAAGGTGTCATTGTTGACAGTTCTCAGTGAAATCTTTGTGTTTGTCAGTATAGCAAGCTCTTTGGCCTGAAAAGGGGTAATAACAGAAATAAAATGTGTTATTTTACTTTTTTTGTTTCAGATCCGCAGTGCTGCACTTTCTGATGCCCGGACTTCAACCGAAGATAACAAAGTCAGCAAATGCTGATTTATTCCCCCGAGGAAAATAACTGCACTCAGGGTAGCGCTAAGGCACAAAAAATATCTCCAGAGTCCAGAATTTGAACGAGGCCACACCAGGCTCTCAGGAGATGTGGTTATGTCAGACGTGTTCTGGCAAGGGGTGCTATGAAATCGTATACATGTACATGGATGTCTAGCTTCATTGGTAATCCCTCGGACATGTCGGAGGCCCCCATGTCAGTATCCAGCCTCCATGTCAGTATCCAGCCTCCATGTCAGTATCCAGCCTCCATGTCAGTATCCAGCCTCCATGTCAGTATCCAGCCTCCATGTCAGTATCCAGCCTCCATGTCAGTATCCAGCCTCCATGTCAGTATCCAGCCTCCATGTCAGTATCCAGCCCCCATGTCAGTATCCAGCCTCCATGTCAGTATCCAGCCTGTGTGCATGACTAAAGATGAGGAGGTCAAGAGAAAAAAACCTCATCAAAGAACAGCATGAACAAGTAATCTTTGAACTGTTGGACATACAATGTACAGGAGTCTCCACTGTTAGAAGACACGTTTTGCATGTGAATTAGGGGAATGTCCAAGTCCGAATATGAAGCCTTTTATCATCAACTGTTGGCGCATTTGGAATCTGAAGCTAATGTGGACACCCACTAGCCTGTAAGTTAGGAAACACATGCAGATTTCTTACCTTTTTCAAAAGACCTGTTTTTCTTTTGAAGAAGGAATCTGTTCTCTTCCACTTGTCAGTTTAATAGACAATGGGGAATTTCCCCAAGTGGTGCCCTTGCCAATTGTGGTTTTCTGACAAAGACAAGTAACAAAGAATGAACATGCAGTCCTAACCTGTAACATTAGTGTGAACTAACTTACATGTAAACTGATTTTTCATCACACATATTAATTCCCCAATTAACTTTCCAATATTTACTACTTAAATCCAACTCCTGTATTTCGCTTCCAGCATAGTCATATTCAACAATTTGTTGTTCTATATCTGCGATATCATAATAATCTTCTTGCTCTATTTCCACAGTAGGTGCTGGTACTGGAAATGATCTCTACACCGATTTCAAGGGAAACTTCCAATGTAGTAGCCATCTGCGAATCCCCTATTATGCCTATGATGACCTCCTCTGTAATGGAGGGGTCGGCCTGTTCCAATAGCTGTACCAGGTCTGATGACATCTGTAACATAATCACCATTTGATAATCAATGATCTGTGGCTTTGAAAAGGGCCAAGGGTGCAGATTTCCAGTCCGTGTCTAGCTGAAACTGTGCTCATAAATCTGGGCTTTGTCATGGTGCATCTTATTGATTTGAAATCACATAACCATATTGAGGCATGAAGTGCGATTTACCAATAAATATCTTTGAGCTGTAATGGGGAACAGGAAAAAGATGGCTGTACCATAATGAAATCATGAAGAACATGTAGACATGGTAAAAGTGTCTTGTGTCTCCACCCAAAATGGTCCCTGACCAGCTAAATATACCATGTTTGTAACGCATAAAAAATTCTCAAATAACTTGTTTTGAATAAAAATAGTGAACAGGTTTACCATGTATTTTTGGGTTGCTCCATCATAAAGCTAACTTCTAATGTGTGGGGCACTGACATCTAGGCAAGAGGGAGCACTTGCCCCCTCTTGAAAAAATGGGGGAACATTAAAAAAAGTTGGAAAAATTTTCCCGTTCTGAATTGCAAAAATTATTCTGTTAGATTGCAGCTACAAAAAATCCTCAGCAGTCCACCTCGTGTATACCAAATTAATTTCGAATTTTAGAGTTTTAAATTTGGAAGTACAGGATCGAAAAAGTGGCAATGACACTTTTCCTTGTTGTGGATCAGTTTCCGGAAAGAAACCACACACGCAAAAAATCCATTTTCAGCCAGAACCGTTGTAAAAAGCTGATTTTCTCGTGAAAAATTTCTTAATTTAGAGAAAGTTAATTTAGAAATAAAATTCCACTGAATTAAAAAGTGTGTAAATTTTTATTTGACTTTCTCAGCTACCGGTACACAGCAAGCCATCAACGATACTGCCCTGGTGCGCACAGTTGACAAACCCATTACGTCATGTACATGTACCGGTACATTTCTGCAAGGTCCGTATAGCAAGTTGAGTTGGCAGCATATACTGCATGCATGCTTTCATGTGTGCTCCAAAACTAGGAAACAATATGCGTTCAATTTTCGGCCAGTTTTAATAGAACAGGAACTTTGAAAGTCATTTTGGTTACAGATGCAACAGTTTCAATGACTGTTGAGTATGAAAGAGTATTTGGGATCACACATAGTGAGTGACATGTATACATGTATCACTCTATAACTATTTGTCAATATTTTTACCTGCTTCCGTGATTTTGACAAATCTTTCAAAAATGTCAAAGTGTGAATCAGAAATCTGGCCAAAATTTCTTTTCTAGAACAAGTTTGTTCAACAAGAAGCTTACATTTCACCTTTTAAACAGAACTTGTTGGAGAGTGTGGAACTACATGTACATTCAAAGAACAACACAAAGGAATTAGGAAAAATCTGAACTAGGAAAACTACTTCAGCACATATACATGTACTTGGCTAGGTCAGCACAGGTGCAAGATTGATTGATTGCGCAAAGATTGACTTACTACAGCAATCATTTTTATAATACCTAAGAAATTAGGCTTGGTTACATGTACTACGTGAAATTCCCTCCCATCATTAATTTCACACTGTCGTCTCAGCAGACGACTGGGCTGGGCTGACAAAGTGTCTCAACATACAGCTTGTCTTGATAGTTGACTGTTTGACTGTCGAGTTGTCTCAACAGTCGAGTTGTCCGGAGTTGAGTTGGCAAATGGTCGTATTGTTTGATACCCCGAGGACCACTCATACCCAGCACAACTCTTGCTCCATATGAGTAAATGTGGTTTAACATTAATTTATATCGATGTATAAAGAAAGAGTGGGAGATGTTTGGCTCAAAGCCAGAATTGCCCATTTTTATAAGAAGGGCTGGAACGCTTGGCCCAAAGCCAGAGTTGTGTTGTAATTGAGTTGAGAGAAATAAAAACCAGTGTTGAAGTGCTTATGTGGAGGTTTGTCTGTCTTCCTTTTATGTTTGATGCTGGCACGTGTGTGGCATGACCTGTGTGCTGTATCACACACAAACTCTTGACCATTAGAAATGGATTAAGCTGTCATATATCCAATTGCCAACTGGTGCGGTTTTACAGAACGGCCATTATCATCTTTTGTTTATACACAGTCACATGACTCATTTCAACCAATCGGAATAGGTACATGTACATACGTGTACATGTATCTATGAATGTGTGATAACAAGTTGATAGAGTGGCTGACCTAAAAAAGTAATTAACAAAAAATATGAAGGCAGGTACACAATTGCCTTTTTCTTATTATAGCCACTGTGGTGTCCTAGCTTGCTGCTTAAATTATAAAACAAATTATTTAAAATAAAATGTCAAAATAGTCTCTAAACACGAAATCCCCCAATTTCTGTCACAAGTTTATGTCACTGCCACTACAAATTATTGAATTTAAAAAGAACTTGACTGATGAAATCTTCCAAATTGAAAAGCTACATGAAACTTCTTACACAAATAAAAAAACTCCAAAAACAGCAGAAAATTCCCATACAATTTCATTATCACAAAGAAGATTCTGAAAAATTGAAAGCTACATGAAAAATTCTTTAATAAGGACGAAATCCGAAGAAAATCCCATTATCCTTAAGTCTTGCTGACTGAGTTTGTCACAAAATATTTCATGCATCATGCTTGCAGCCTCTGTACCGGTAAATCTGCAGTGGCCGTATCATGCTAGTTGGCGTCAACAAGCATCGACAAGCTTCAATACAAACATTAGTGTCAACAAAGCGTCAACAACTTGAAAATATCTTCTAAAGACTCAAAAGTAGTATTATATTAAAGAGACTCAAACATTTGCCAAGGTGTAAGAAAACCAGCAAATTTGCTTCCAGATTATCACAGGAAGACAAACTAGTTTGGCAATGCGTGGGGGCCGCCATCTTTCTTCTCTCTGGCATCCACACAGAAATAACATGGCGGCTGGTTGGGCTGCACAAGCAGAGCGAACTTTGCCACAAAATTCCAGCACACAAATATCATTTTAGATAAATAAGATGCATAGAATGGGTAGTTAAGAGTCTCATCAATGTTAAAAATACAATCTTTTTGCACAAAAATGCTTGGATAATTTGTTGATGCTCCTTGATGCTTGTTGACGCTGAATACATTGTACATGAGGCATGACCTGGCATATCATGTACAAAATACACATACAAGTCTGGCATTCCCCTTTGCTTCAAGCAGTGCATTCCATTGCTGTGCTGGAAATAAAGCAAGCACTGGGGAAGAGGTTGGTACAATGCATGTTCTACCAGGGCACCCTTCAACAAAAGGAAAATGTAAAAAAAAGGAATCATAAAATACTCTTGTACCAAATGGTTGACACATACTTTTCAGCACAGACTGGTTTTGGTAGTTGCAAGGTGCATACGCAGTTCTAAAGACAAAGCCCAATTTCAGGGTTCTTTTTATGATTGCAGGCCAGTAAATACATGTGCCAAAATTGCCTTGGTAAGAAAAATCACTCACTGGATATGTCAGTTTTGAATGCCACTTGTCCACTGGACAAGTGATGAAAAAAATAATGTTAAGGCCTGCTGCTGCTAGATAGTTGGACTAGTGAAGTCATACACTGCACTCCAGGTTGACCGACGCCAAAAACACTAGACTCGCTTGGTATTTCAAGCCCTGGGTTGGTGTTGCTTAAAACCACTGACCATTGTTAATATAAACAACCACAGAGCTGTTTCGGATTCAGAGCCTTTTCTAAGCATCATTTGTGTGTTTTGTGAGCTATGTAATTCCGAAAAGAAAAGCTTTTAGAAAGGATGATCCCACCTGCCCCAGTCATCGGACCAATCCTTGCTTTTTTCTCGGTCCACAGATTTTGGAATCAGCACTAGCTGCACGGCACAGGGCATTTCCTAACTTGTGCCCAGGTAGCAGCTGCAAGTGTGTGTACATGTACATGTGTACTATGCACCAAACTGAGGGCAAAGGTCACGTGTACACAAATTCTATCAGACCATCTAATACATAGCGCTATTACTTCATACTTACTTCATTTTGAGGTGTTTATGTTCCTGGGTAATTCCAGAAATTAGGGGTCCAAAAGTGTGACATTTTTGTGCCCCTGTTACATCTGACCTTTGTTGTTTGACATGGAAACATCACGGGAATCGATTTCAAACTATTATTATTTGTTTAATTTGGTAATTTGCATTAATTCGCCACTCTTGGAAATTAGAAAATGTATTCTGAACTTACACGATCATATGTCAGATGTGACAGGGACAAAAAAAAATGGACCCCAAATTTCTGGAAAATTTATCCTCCTGTCTCTTAAAAAGTGTCATATATTTCATCATCACAAATCACAGAACGAAAACAATAGCTGCTTTGGCAGTTATGCCGAAGCAGCTAAAGAAAATGCTGACACGATTAAGCTAGGGATCTATACTGGCAGAAAAGCTAATGAGTGATTGATCATCGATGCATTCGGTGTGCCTACACTGTAGATAGTTCGCTGTGCCACTGTGCCTCCATTACACCTTGCCGTTGCAGTCTTGCATTTTAATACCGGGTAGGCTGGGCGATTCTGCCAGTCACCGCATGCATACCGTGCCTCTGCGTCTCCATATACGTCCCACCAGCCACCACGTGCTTGCGATCATGTTGTCTCAACATTCAAATGGTTCCAAGTTGAATTGGTTGAGTTTTCTCTGACATCCTTTATGAATATAAGCCCAACAGACTAATGTTTATTTGTTTGAAAAATTGGAGCTTTTAATCACCACCCTTGCATTCAGAGCATACATGTACTGTCCGAAATGTTACCACCTGTTCTTTTCAGAACCCTACATGCTTAAAAAGAGATATATCCATGGTGCTACAGCAGACCTATCCAGTTTACTAATTGTGTAGAGTTGACCTCTAACTTTATAAGTGACAGTGTTACACCCAACTACTGTATATGGCATGTAGTGTAATGTAGTTTGGCTGCCCAACTATAGTCAGTAAATTTCAACAGAAAATGTCCAAACATTTTCCAAGTTTTGTGCAACCCATACCAAACAGAATTCATCCAAACTATGCGAATGTGGCATGTCATCCGTGACACAAATAAAACTAGATTCTGCCAGCTTTAATTTAATACCATTTATTTTAATTTCTTTGTGGCATGGGCAGAAAAGGGTCTTTTTGGAGTTTGAAGGTGTTGCTGTACTTTTCATTTACTTATACCAAACGTTATTTCCAATGCTCCTGGTTGCTTTTTAATTTTAATTGTAAATTTTTCAAACTCGGAACTCCATGTTCAATGGATGGATATCAACATACATGAACCATTATTAGTGTGATAAATGTACTTGTTCCTCTTTGCAGGCTGCACATTCAACAAAAGTTGTTAAAATAATTCTTACCTTTAAGAAAGTTTTAGGTCTTACAGCCAACCCAAAAGCCACCATACTGTACATGCAAATTGTATTGATGAATTCACAAACTTAGGCCTTATACTTACGCAATAGCTGCCCGTGCTCCATTCACACCTACATGTACACAGGTCCCTCCGTACATGTACACATTCAGTCATTTTTGTTCCAGAGGGTGTACTTATGGAGAAAGCGTTAAAGTTTACGCACGAGAAATGAAAAGGAAACCTTTATCTATTGCAATTTATTTTCACATATTTATTTGTGGAATGTTCCATTTGGAATAAATGTTAACGCAGAAGTAACCAAATCTTGCCGAACTCAGCAAGTTCCGTGGTGAAGTGAATAAGAAGTCTGCACTAGTAAGCAGGAGGTTGTGGGTCTGAGTACCACCAGTGTAAGCTGTGAATGTTTTCACAGGCTCTTGGACAAGCAGTTTAGAGCAGTGTTAATTAATTAATACATCGGTACCCCTGGTACATCAGTGCATTAGGGCAAAACTAGAAATTAAAAATAAACTTACCGGTAAATCTTTTAGATTTTAATTTTTTTCCCCGATAGAAAATTAGCAGCATTGCTTTTTTAAGAGCAGTTATGAAGCAAATAGGCTGAATGAAACTACATGTATTTGTATATGTTTTTTAATGATTTTTAAATTTTTTTTTCTTTTAAAAAAGGTGGTTATGAATGGTAAAACAATACACACTTCACCACATGCTATGCATGTTGTCTGTACAGCATGTACATGTACACAGTGAATACATAAGCGTACCACTACATACATGTACATTGGCTGTTCAACCACAAACCTTATTACTTTCACTATTATACTGCCACCTATACCAATACATGTGCATTATCTGCAAGGATCAGTCCCTAGTGTACATGTACCTGTGTGTTATGTACATTATGTACTTGTACACATGTATGTCAGGGTATTCAAACCTTACACTGGTACTGTATTATGTAATTTCTTTGTTAGTAGTATGAAGTGTAAACCTTGCATTAATGGCAGTGTAGTAGGAGACAATGTTACGTGTAGCTTACTGGTAAGAATACAGAACAAGAACTGTATGCTTAGTCTAAGGTACTGGGGCTTTCTATGAGTTTCTGCAAAGGAGTGGTCAAACATGGATGAGGCAGGCAGTTTTCTTGTTACGGTTGAATCATGTACTTTTTAGGCATCATACGGTAGGATATGAATTTGGGTGATTGTTTCACCCTTGGCAGAACACTGGGAATTCCTGGTGGGCTAGGTTATATTTTCTAAAAGTTGCCACTGTTTCTCGTTGACATGGCCTGATAGTGAATCATTGCTGTTTACCATTCTCTTAGCCACCTAAGTCACCTGCAAAAAGTGCCAAGGGGAAGAAGGGGAAATTGAGCAAAGCAGAAAAGGAGCGGCTGAAGAAGGAGGAATTGGAGCTTAAAGCTAAAGAAGAAGGTTAGTTTGTGTTTTTTATTCAGTTTCTGTCTGACATTTCCAGTTGGAGTGGCAAATCAGGTCCATCATACCGTTTCAAAAGATACACATACATGTACACATCCGTGTTCTGTACATATACATGTACATGATTGTGATCCAAGTCTGATCACACAACAGCAATAATGAAATCAAATTGTAATGTCAAGTTGCACTGGACACCAGTGGCCCACACATGCTGTATGATGTTCTACTGTGCATGGAGCCTGTTAAATGTACATGTATGTACACCAGGCCTCAAATAGATCAGGGAAAAAAACACAATACAGCAGTGTTCTCCATGGCCTTTCTACTACAGCAGGATAGCAGACAATGTTAGCGTAGAGTGCAAAGCCGTTTCATCTTGTGGTTGTGGAAATGTTGAATATTCTCTGGTGCAATCTGAGGCATTTTCCAGGTACTTTCTTTCGACTACTTGAATCAAATTTGGTCATCCAAAGTTGAATTTTTTTTGCTGTGGCATTCAGTTCTTTTCCTACGGATTGGAAGTCATCTCTGAGCGGATGGAGGTTTTGGGCCAGAGTAAATAACGAGTTTGACTGGAATAAAAACACCCTCAAGTTTTATGGGAACATAGTAATTTAGCTTAACAGGTTCTTACGCGACTAAGTGAAAATAAGATTCGGGAAATTGGAGCCAGTCCATGATTGTGTGCTTTAGTACTGTGTCTGTGTTTGTTCATTAACGTTATTGCAAGGGCAGTACCGTTCCACTGAATATATTGATGTTGGCAAACTCATAATGTTTGTTCCACAAAGTGTGGTCATCCTCTTTGTACAAGTTAACGTAAACTGTTAAGACACTGGACAAAAGGGAAAATCTGATAGAAAAAAAAAAGCTGGGGGTGGTGAAAATATTCATAGGGGCAGCAAAAATTTAGTGGGGGATGGGGGGCATGCCCTGAAATTTTGGCAGGGCGTCCCCCTCCTTAATGAACACCACATTCCATTTTGTTTCTTTTGCAACTGTACATGTACACGTACATGTACATTTGTATAGGCCAAGCTAAATGTTGGGCTGCAGTAAAAGTGGAGCAATTTGGATGATAGTCTTTGTATCAGTACCCGTGTGAGAAAACTTTGCTACCGCTAAGTTTCACGCTGCAGTCATTTAGTTTCTTGTTTCCATATTTATGATTGTGTTTGTCATCAGTGCAGTGTAACCTGACATTAAGCCTCTTCTGACTTTACCAGGAACTTCTTTTGTTATATTTAAATACATTTTTCCTCTGTGGTCTTTAAATACATGTATGTATTGCACATGATGCATGTATGTAGGTTACGTTGTCATGACCTCCAAAGTCCATCATGCTGATCACACATGTACATGTATACATGTACCACTCACACAGTAACTATGAGCAATGATCACATCCTGCCTCATTTTGATTGATCAACCAAAGAAGTTTAATAAGGAAATGCTGCTAATTTAGATTAAAGAGTCAAACCTTTTTATTTATAACCTTGTGGCTTTTCACTATGGGGTCACATTTCACGTACGTGCTGTTGCACAGTAACATCTGCAAAAGGATTTTATGCACATGTGCTGGTACATGTATATATGTGGGTATAGGTACACTGTAAATGTACACGTATATATGTATGCAGGGTTGCACATGTCCATGTGAATACATGTACATATTAGCACAAGTGATTCCATGCATGCACGAGTTGTATACTTATCTGTGAGCGAGTTGCTCCAGGATTTTGGTTTGCAAATTTGCTCAGAAATGTTCTTTTTGCATACCAAATTGTTTTGTTTAGCAAACCATTAGTTTTGTTTTGAAAGCAAATTTAAAATACCGGTACATGTACCGGTACCTACAGTATATATGATTAAAACTGAGTTCCAGGCTTTACATGTATTCGTTAATTATTGGGATGATGCAAAGAACTTAAATTAAGGGAATGTTGATGAAAGTATACATGTACATGGGTAATTCCATAAATTTGGGACCCACCTTGGGACATTGTTGGTGTCCTCCTCACACATGAAACCAATCAGTTTGTTCGCACCTTATACAGGGCTGTAACAAGTAAATGAAATATTTCGTCCATTTAACGGTATATTAGGCAGCATACAAGTTTGTAATTTTTACCACTTTGCTTGTTCCAAGTGTCTTTCTGTTGTAGTGTCAACCAATTTTCAAAATTTGTTTCATGTGTAAGGGGGACACCAAAAGTGTCACAACATTGGGTCCCATATTTATGGAATCATGTAAGCTGATACATGTACATGTGCATGTACCGGTACATGAGGTGCAGTTTGAGAAGTTGTTTCCACCTTTTAGATCCCAGTTCAGACATTAGGGTGCAAGTTGGCCGTTGTGTGAATGTCATTGGAAGGGCGTTCCAGTTGTCATTTCAAGCCCATATGTACATGTAAGTGTGAATCAGCATGATCGTTGTGATTCAGCCTTTTGCTTCCGGGACAAACCGCACAATGTGTTTTCACCCAGGAGACGTTATGCTTTACCAACTGCCGATGCAGATCATCATTATTTTTACATAGAGTCAAATAAACTGCTGTCTTTTTTATCATGATTCAGCTGTTTCAGCAACAAATGAAAATTTCACTGTACCTTCTAGTTGTATCAAGTTACATGTACAGTACAAGTGTCCTCGTATGTGCATACATGTACATTGTCACCGTTAAAAATGCACGGGTGTGCATGTGAAGACTTACGAGTAACATTGATGTACATGTACATGTACATGTATGTATACATGTAAATGTATGTCCAATGTACGTGTACCAGTACACGTTTGTGCATGTGGGTGCATGTACATGCACAGTACATGTAGGTGCACGTTGTGCTTGTCAGTGACATCAGAATTTGACCCATTGCAGTCATCAGTAATATGATTTTTTATTTGTAAGAAATAATTATTTTCAAAAATGGTACATGCAGCCTCGAGGGAACAGCAGGCTTAATGTTGAGAAAAAAAGTAAGAAGATTCAGTAAACTCTTGATAACTCAAAAGTTGGGTAATTCAAAACTCCACTTATCTGCCCGCTCGCTACATGTACATGTAAATCTGCTTAACTCAAAATTTTTGAAGGCCTGATCCAAAAGGACTACTTCCAAATCACAGATGATGACTAAAAAAAGAACATGACACTTTAATTATGAGTCATTTCTGCAAACCACACCAAAAGTCGTTTTGTGTGACACGAGTGTGCTTGCTGCCATTGTAATCGACTCATCGGGACCACCATTAATAGCCTAAACAAATCCTGGCTTTCAGGCAAGCCCGATTGCAATCACAGCCCAAATGCCACCAGTGTGCTTGCAGTCCAGTTTATTCTTATAGGCCATGTGACCACAAACAACGAAGCTTTGTGCTTGGCGCAGCTAAAGTCTGGCTGCTGCCGCCCGCCCAATTGCAGTACTTGCGTGCCACTCACATGCTGAGAGTGTCCAATCACAGTGCATTTGTAGACACAATGGACATGTGTTCCTGGTGCAGTGTTGGAAATATTCACCAAATCTCACTTGAATTTTTTAAAGGGTAAAAAGGAAATTTAAGGGAATGAAGAGACAAACAAAGACACACAATTCTTTTTATTGTTTTTTTATGCTTGAATGTTTTGAAATGCAAAATGGTGCACCTTCGGCCAAACAGGAAAACCCCGGGCCAGGCCCTGGCCAAGTGAGAGAGCAAACACAAGGCCGTGCCCGTTGTGCGTTGGTGTGCGTCGAACGAACGAATTGTCACAGAAGTACACAGTTTTGGTGATTTATGTTTAATTTATCAGTAGAAAAATTTAAGTAAGAAAAACATGAAATCCCAGCAAACTGATGATTTTTAGAATAAATTTATTCTTGGATATAAGGAAAAAACCACTTATAATGTCTCCGATTGCCACAACAGGGCAAGTCAGGTTGCTTGTGTAAAAAGTGCACCAGTATGTGTGGGTAAGACTCAGGAACTTTCATTAGTCCGAAATCTGGATAACTCAATTTTTTTATCCATTCTCCTGAGGTTCGAGTAATTGAGAGTTTACTGTGTTTTCGTCGTTTCTAAAAGTAAACCTGTTTACACGTACCGGTAGCTTCCTGAACCAGTTATTTGTCCAATGTTTGCAGAAGATGCTCGTGCAAAAGCGGAACAAGAAGAGAAGGAACGTTTGGAGAGGGAAAGACTTGAGAGAGAAGAACGTCTACGAATTGAAGCTGCTGTGAGTTAACACAAATGACTTGACATGCAAATCAACTCCACAGAAGAGAAACCAAATCCCATTGTCTGCTTGATGTTGGTGTACAGATACCGATGCATGTAACTGCAGTGTACATGTATGGTCAGTAGGAGCACTGTACAGTACATGTACATGTACTTAAAAGAAGTCAAAGAGGTCTTTTTTGACAGTGTGGTATGGGTTAGACATCCTAATGTCAAATAGTATTCCTGTTATGCAGGAATCAGTCGTTTTTATTGTCTGGATACATTGGAATTTCTATGTGAATAGCACAGGTAAAATCAGACATCCAGTGACATTGTCTTTCTGTGATTGAGCATGGGAAGTGCTCAAAAAAGTAACTGATTGACAGTGCTTTATATTGTGAGCCCCATGTACATGTACAAGGCATTTCATATTGAAAGGAGGAATATTTCTGTCACATTTCATCTGGCGTATTGGTATTTTTCCGTACCATATGAGTATTTTTTGTTATCAGGTGGGCAAGGGGTGCTGTCATTTCCTGTAAAAGTTTTTAAGCTACGTAAGAATGATAGATGCTAGCTCACACCCATTGCACACTGCAAATTAACCCAGTGCCTGGACTTTCAGATGCAATAAATTTCTTCCTTCCTAGAACATGATAGAAAATGCTTGTTAATTCCCCCAAGACAAAGAACCTGTGATTTGCTGAGTAAACTGGTGGGACAGGAAGACAGCATTTAGGTTGCCCGTAGGTTTATCCCATGTGACACTGAAGTTAATTTGCGGAGGAAGGAAGCTATCTCAGACGGTTAGTAAGGAGTCGTATTGTGTATATAGATGCCTGGGTACTGACTTACTGTGGCATTCAGTCACAGGTCGTGCTGCAAGAAGGACCAGTCAATCTGTGTTGGTGAGTTGCAAACTGCAGACTTTGTGGTACAAATGCACTTAGCTGTTCTAGCAAGAATCCGCTCACAGCTTGCAACAGTAAATGTAACTCTTTATAACAGTCATCTGTTGCTTTTGGTAGCTCAAATAACCAGTGCCTCCTGCCAAGATGAGTACAATTTGGTGTTCAATGCATGCTCTGACGATATTCTTGTATGCTGTTCTCTGTTTCAGGAGAGTCAACGTCATGCTACTGAAGTGAGTGAGTTACAGTCCATCCTAGAGGGCAATGAGATTGCTCTTTCAAACATTCATGATGAAAGGCGAGCTAAAGCCAAGGTAAAGTTCTTGAAGCGGTCATTTCCTGCTTTACCTGGGTATTCTGTTGAAACATTTTTCAAGAAACTGGATATTAGTTCATTAGGGTATTGGGTGTGTGAATTCTAATTCAAGACCTATTGCTCTGCCATCAGTTTTTACCCAAAAGAACACCACTTTCCCCATAGATGGCTTTATAAAAGAGTGCTTGGAGTAGTTTGTATGCTGCATTGCATTTACAAATCAGTTTTTATATTCTAGGGAGCGGCTTGAAGTACTGGTACTTTCATGTACAAATATCCAAACCAAACGACAACCTACATAGTACTTAAGTAATGAGTCCCTCTACATATACATGTACATTGGACATGCATCTCATGGAGTCAGGGTATTTCATGGCCTTCCGTGAGTGTTTGGTGATAAGTACCATTTACATTAGGATGTAAAATGCTCTTGGTGGAGTATCTTGATGTCAAACAAGATTTAAATGTGAATCCATTTTTACTTCCGTTTTTGAAAGAAAGTATTTTTTTCAGTTTTAAACAGTTCTAAATTTAGTGATTTTCAACATTTAGCAACAAATTGCAGTGCCAAAATACATGTACCGGTACATGCACATGAATTCTGCTTTTCATTTTGTCCAAACTGTTCAAAGAAAGTTGGACCACTTGCATTTGATGGAATGTTCCATTCACAGTGCTACTGCTAGAAACATACAAGAACCCTATGGTTATGTTGTTGTTTTGTTTTAATGGCACCTTCAGCAACTCAGGCCATTTGCGCCAATAACTGTACATTTATTCATACACTCTATCAATCAGCATCACATTACGGAGTTTAGGAAGAAGGTCCAGTTTTAAAGGCAGAAGGAAACCGGAGTGCCCGCAGAAAACCTGCGAGAGCGAGTATGGACTGGAAACCAAATGCACATAAACCTGGGCCAAGTCGGGACTTGAACCCGGGCCTCATTGGTGCAAAGCGAGGAAAGAACCACTATGCTAACCCGCTTCCCCCCACCCTATGGTTATGTACACTTCCAGATTAAAATACATGTACAGTAGCTCATGTGCAAACTGTGCTTGATGTGCATGAATACATGTACCGGGTAGTCATGGCAAACATTCCTTCAAACAAAAAATTATCTGGTAGCCATTGGCTCCTAATGGGGGAAATCTGGGTGCCAGCACTCTTGTGAAAGTTTATGTGCTGAATATTCATGAACGTACATGCAGTATGAATACCCTGTGTTTACATTGTCCATCTACATGTACATGTATGTCATAGAATCATGATCCAGCGCGGCCCGGCACACATACATTGTACATCACTCAACTTACATGTACAGTATGTACATGAGTGCCAATGAGGCCAATCCAGAAATTCAGGGTTCTTGCCAAGGGCTTCAGCCATGGACATTATGACGTCTGTAGTTTCAGCGTGTTGTGGGACACCCTGCTGCATGAATGGCGCTATTTTTGACACTTTAAACCACAGCAACATCCTTTAATTCTGGCATGAGCTCCGTTTCAGGCTTCATTTATGTTGCAGCAAAAATACAGCCCATGCTGTGGTTTATAAAATGGCCCAGGTGTCCGTATACAGTGCATCAACAATGTATGTTTCGATCAGGAACTGACGAACACGTGTGTGATGGCAACACATGTACATGTAGTATTGTACATGTTCAGCACACACGGTAAGCTTGTAATTCACGATGCAACTTGCGCTGTAATTTCTACTTTTCGGGAACAAATTCTGAGTGCATGATCATTGCTTTTTTTATTTTTAAGCATACTCAAAATTTTTCAAATACATTTGTATGTAGTTTTTAAGCTACATGTATCTTAAGTCGCAAATGGTGACTGTGTGGTGAAAACATGATCGCATTAGCAAAGTTGTGGTCGCATTTGCGACTGATTTAGGCACTGTTTAAAGTGTTATTGGCATTCATGTATATGTACATTGCACATGTACATGTATACCGAGAGATGTTATGACAGGGTGTGCTTAACAGCTCCCTCTAGACCACACATACAGTTCATAAGGCTGGACATCAGTCTGTCAATGTACAGTATGCTTCTGTGTCAGCTTCTCATATCCCACATATCATACTGTACATGTACAGTATGTACATACACATGTACATGTACACACAAGTGCAGGATGCAGTAAATGCATTATATTTGAGGCAGTTTAGGGAGGAGGTTAATTACAGGTATATTAGGTTCCTCCCTGTATTTGAATTCCAGGAGTTCTACAAGAGACAATCTTAAAGGGTATAAAGTCTTTTATACATATACTGTACATCTATGCATGTATGCGTACGTGTAGTTTACAGTAAGCACGTATGTTGTATGCAGCTAAGACATACATGGATGTACCGGTATCATCAGTGTTTTCATGAAGTCTCAAAAACCTCAAAATCTAGCCAAACGGATATTCCAAGAAAAATGCGTTTGAAAATACTAGCCATTTCAATACACATTTTTGATCACTTTTATTGAGGAGTGATTTTTAGAAAGTCATGAAATGTAAGACTTGGAAATTTTAATTCATACTTATATTGGTTTAATTAACGAATAATTCATTAATAAGAACTGATAAGAGTTTGTTCACTTTGTTCAAACAGAAAAGGCCCGGAGGTTTTTATTATTTTTCCTATTGCATCACACACCCTTTTGTCACTTCAATAAAAATGCGTACTTAAAGAAAATTGTTACATTTCATTACATTTCAACATACATGTAGACCTGTGCAAGTGTACATGTACGACACCGTTCGCACTCATGTGTACACACCCAGACTCGTGCAGAGATTATGTGTATGGGTCATTCCATGAAGTTGGATAACAATGTGTGACAGAGGAGCTGAAATTTGAAATTCTTTCACATGTTATTTTTTCCCCAAGTTTTGACACATTATTAACTGTGTATCTTCTACTAATCATACTTTTGCAATAAGTCTTAAGCAGACAAGGAAATACTCGGGTATTATGCAACATGTAGTGGGTTGTGGATGTAGCACAGAAACCACACACTTCAGTGCACAGCAAAGACTTCTCCAAGTTGCAGTATGTCATGAAGATTCGTTTGTTATGTTCTAAAGTTTGGCAAGTACCTTACCCAAAATAAAACAGTAAAGAAGGGAATATACCACAAGAATGAATGTCAGGATGGGTATATGAACTCATTTTGGGAGACCTTCCAGACCAGGTACCATGCAGTCAGGCTGAGCATTTTCCCGTATTCAATCGGGATAGTAGGGTTCAAATGAAGTATAATCTTTGTGGCCATATACGGCCGCATGGATGGCAATATGTGTGTTGATCTTAAGCACATTTATCCCTGATTATATTCAAAATACACACAAAAATACTGTGTCTGATTTCACAGAAAACAGTGCAAAAAATTTGGCACCTTTATTTAGAATTTCCCAGCTGGATTTTGCCAGACTGGCTGCAGAAACCATAGTTGGCATTCTGGCAAGAACAAGTCATATCTGTTGAACCTGAACTACATCAGCCAACGCTGAGTGGAGAAAAAGTACACATCCGTTGTAGTTTCCAAAACGTGGTGATATAGTAAACTACTATTTTCCATGTCCAAAACATGAACTCCTATTTTGGACGTAATGCGACTACCAGGATTTATGTATGGAAACCACATGTTACTTCCGTACCCTCGAACAAAATGGGCTCACTTATGAAGGAGGGGTAGTTACATAAACTACATGTGTGCTGTGAACTGTGGAGGGTTGATATAGATCTGAATATATAAAAATATGACAATGTTTACATGTACCAGTACTTTCAACCCACTCTTTTTGTTTCTTAAATGCCCATTTATTTTGTCAGAAAAAACCTAGTTTTACATAAACGGAAACCTCTTTCGTGCTTTATGCTGCAAAAAAGTTTCCACAATATGAACAAAATGGTTCAACAGTATAGCTCTCTGTGTTATTTTTATGATGTAAATTTAACCATTTGATTTAGTCCAAAGCTTCAGACTGTAAGCAAATAACCACGTGTTCTCCAACTTCATGGAATGACCCATATTGTCTTTATTTGCTCTGCTAACAATAAGACTTTCTGTCACTTCCTGAAACAAGAAACACAGAGACCGAGCTTTTAGTTTGTTGTTTGTACATGTACATTGTACAGTATACAGTTACTAGGAAAGTAAAGAACATTTTGTTTTGAAACTCTGCTAAATTGTTCTTTGGATCAAATGAAGTAAAATAGTACAAAAACCCCCCAGATCGAAAAACTTTTTATTTTCCTTGTTTTTTGTCACTTGGTGAAAACACCGACGATACCGTATTTACAGTGTATCATACTTGAATGTATGTTAAGTCATACTTAATTATCCTAAATTTCAGTCACATCTATGTACCTTTACATTTTGCAGTTTATTTTTCTTGGATGAAATGTACCAGGTACTGGCCTGTACAACAATAACACTTGTGCATATATAGAGCAATCCTTTAATCCTTTTGGAAAAATATCAAGAAAGCAAGGAGGAAATGGACATAATGTAATTAATGTTTGATTAGTTTCCATGCCTGCTGAAAAACAGTCACAGTGTGAGTTATACTGGACCACAACTTGTATAGCGGCCTTACATGTACATTGTCCATTGTATTGTACGGATACACATACACATGTGTGTGGAAACGCCCTTACGTTTTCTATTGTTGTTTTACAATGCTGGTACCTGTACAGTGTGGGTCATGCACACCTGTCCATGTAGATTTAATTTTTGGAGCATCTCTGGTTCTCATTTGTTTTTCTTAGAATACTTTATTTTCTCTGGAATATTCTTTGAAGGTTATAACCAATAAATTGTTTTGGACTCTTACAGTGGGATCGCTATATGCAGTGTGATGGCACACCAGACCCAACAATTGCTGCTGAGGTTAACACATACATCAATTTATCCTATGAAGCTACTGACACCAATGACATTGATTCTGTTATATTAGAAAGCAAGCAAACGTTGGCTGTGAGTATGAGAACTTTGTTGTACATACAACCGTGCAGTACAGTGTACATGTCAAATCTTGCTTGGGGACTTAGTTCCTTTAGTTTTTCAACGTCTGTCACATTAGTTTTTAAGAAAAAAATCACATCCATACATGTACATACTGCATAGTTGGCTTTTCTGCAGTGTGAAAAAGGCCTCTCTTTGTTCTGAGTTTGTAACCGTTTCTTATGCCTCATGTTCTTCCACAAACCTGTTGACTTTGTATGCAATTTTTCTTCACTGGACTTTTGTCACCTTGCAGTTTTTTTTGTCTTCATCAAAGTTACCTTGAATAAAGACCTTATTACATAAAATGGTCCTCAAACAATACTGTTGTCATCAGACGTCATGCTAACAGACACAAGCAATGTAGAATTCTTTGTAGGCCTAAATTTCAGAGCCATACATGTAAGTCTAAATGCAATGAAACTTGGTATACATGTAGACCCAAACCAAACTTGGTTATGTGAAACTTGGGGTGCCGTCAAGAAAATCTTTTCAAATGCAGAAAAGCCAGTTGTTCTGCCTACGGAAAGACGACATGTTTATTTGTTTTTCAGACTCTACCATATTTATCTGAATGCCACTGATGTTAAAATAGAAATTTGAACCAGTAAATCATTACATAGAGCAAGTGTAACAAAATGAAGAAAACAGGAAAAATAATCATTGTAACTTGTCACTTAAAATAAGGCAAGAAGTCAGAAGAACTACCGGTAATTATAACACTACTCTTTGTATTGCACACCCTTTCAAAAATAACAATTACAAAAAGGGACTGGCGGGTTTTGTTTCTGCATTGTACCATATGTTGGTACTTGATGTACTATTTTAGACTCATGTTAGAAGGGAAATTATTAAACGAGATGCATTTTATGTCCTAAATCATGTAAATTTCCTTTTCTGTGGTGATTTCTTGTATATTTGTACATGTGGGTTCATGACAGTAATCCATTGAGCAACTCTTTCTCACACACATGTATGTTGTCAGTGGCAAATTTGGGATTCAGAAATCCTCAGTGCCTTTGGATAACTTCAGCATGGACAATTGAAACTGTTGGTACAAGAGCTCTTTTCAATACACATACACCCAAAGGGCTGCCAAATGGTATTCATACACTGAAGACGTTAGACACCTTTAACATCATCAGGGATGTTGGGACTCTGCATATTACATGTACCTTGTCACAACAGGGACCTTGTATTATCAGTATGTGTAACAAATACAAAGACTGGAGGACCTAAAACTTAAATGTTGTTTTAGCAGGAGGTTGTGTTGACAGTGCTTGTGTTATTGGTGTTTGACTGTAAAAAGTTGCACAAAAAGTTTTAGAAGACTTCATTACATGGACCCTTTAAACTCAATACGGATGATTCACAGTAGGGCACCTCCAAGAGTTGCAATGTGTTGACCAATCACACTGCATGAAATCTGTCAACCCAGTGCATATTTGGAAAGGGTCTGTGTGACCATATGATTCATATCTTTCAAATCCCCATAAGCTCCGTGGGAGGTGCCAGTATAGGGTACCCTCAGCTGTGACTCTGTAATTGGCTTTGTGCTATTTGGCAGTTGCCAAAACTCTGCCATGTGATTGGTTGAGCTGTTGTATAATACGTATGAATAAGCTGTAAGTAGTTTCATTATGTAAAAGGCATCATGTCCGAGTCTGATGTTGCTTTGATTTGAATCTGCAGATTGAACTTCAGGTTAGAAAGGAGAATAGGGCTAAGATTTTTAATCATCTTTGTTTATTATTTCATAATATTCAGTTGATAAGTGAGTTGGAGTTTCTACTGGATGACACTCCGGAGAAGGATCTGAATGAATCTCAAGCTGCTAGATATCAAGATACCATCAATGAACTACAGAATCTACTGAGCAGCAAGGTGGATGCAGCCACTGTGTTACTTCTGAAGGTGTGTAGGCCATATACTGTACATGCACCGGTAGGTGCAGTTCATGTACTAATCAGATATCATACACAAGCTGAGCTACATAAATATAGGACCCAACCAAAAGCATTCATTGGCTGCAAGGGAATGTTCATGTGAAGACTTGCTGGGTCTTTTTGAGGTCGACATCTAGGGCTGTCTGCTCTTGCGTGTAAAAATCATAAATGCTAAATGTAGGTCTTCTTTTATCAGTGCTTCATTTTGAACTTACTGAATTCATAGCTGCTTCACACAAACCCTCTCCAGTGAGACCTGAAATTAAATGAGAACTAGATTTGTAAGGTGTCTGGGGGCATTCAGTTTCGAAATTATGAACCATGCATTTGTTCCACAGCAAACACCTTACAGCTCAAGCCTTCCGTAGTTGAAATATTTCTCATGATTTTGCCATTCCTTGGTTGACTTATTCTTGCTTAAGTTTCCATCTGATGTTGATTGGTGAAACATTTGCTAGGGTCTCTTAAAACTTAAATCATTCTTTATCAAGAAGGTGTTAAACCAGGGTTTGATCACTAGTTCGGTTGAATTTGGGATGAAGCTTTCAAATCTAAATTGCACCTATCCTTGACTTTGTAAAATTAATTACTTTTGAGTTGGTTTAAGGAAATAAGCAGTTTGAGGTAGTGCCAAACAACCAAACCAAATGAAAACTCATCTGAACATGGCACTGTTGAACTGAACTGAACGAACAAAGCTGTTGTCCCATATCCTACTATCATTTTGTTGAGTCGAGCATTGTCTAAACACATCGGCTTTTGGTCGGCGAAACATGGTTTGAAAAAGTCACACATTAGACTGTAACTTTTTTTAACTCTAAAATAAACCTTGGGAAAACAATTCGGAAAAAAAAATGTGGTGAAATCGAAGTTGCTCTTGGATGGAAATGGAGGAGATTCATTGCTTGTACATCTTTGTACATGGAAGTACTGTACTACATGTACCGAATGCTCGTAGCGAGTCCTTTAATGTTTCAGTGTACATTGTACTAACGTCTGTTGTATCAATAATATCCGATATACTGATTTTGCTTTGATATTGATATGAATGGTATCTTTGTAACATTGAAATCGATATATCGAAATCGCTGATATAATGAAAAAAATGAAGCTGTTGTACATGTTATTGACAGTGCCTTGTCTTGAAATTAAAGTGTCCGTTTTTCATGGTCAAGAATAGCAGTCAGCAATTTTACCTTTGATTTGTTGTCCTGTTCACAAAAGCTTACAAAAAGTGGTAAAACAGCTACATGTACAGTACATGTAGGTTGTATGTGGTGTGCAATGAATTTCTTCGTTGTTACGAACATGTACTGGTACATGTAAAAACTCACACGTATTTAAGTATGGTGTACATTTAGCAGGGCACCTTTCCTCACAAGGGAAATGCATGCACAAACTGTATAACAATACCCTTGTGTATGGGTACCAAACTTTATTGCACGCGTGGCACATCAGAGTTTTGATGGCCGGAAGCCTTGAAGCTCGAAGACTATTTTACGTGTGCTGTGACTTCAGCATTAATGAATTTTGCGCGATACTTATGTGTGTACTTTTGTACACATGACACCAGGCACAATCGGTGAGTGGTCAAGAAATAGCCGTTGCCCTAACTTGTATGACTGATGCATCAGATTCCTACGCCCTCTGCATACACACAATACGGGGTAGTTTGTGTGATATATATTCATGTCGTGTTGTAGTGTAACAATTTTATCAATGGTGATTGGTTGAGGGAGGAACTTACTGTCCCGGGAAACAAAGAAGCCGGCTGCTCAGAGTATGCATTCCTTTGCATTTGAATATACATGTACTGTTCTGACCACAGGTTGTAGGTGTTGTCAGTTGCTCTTTTGTTTGGGGAAGATTAAAAAAGCTTGCAAATTCTAGCAGACTTGTTGCATGCTACATGATTAGGACCAATTGGTAGGGCCCTAAGCCGCCTAACTGCAAATGGTGTTCGGCATTATGCATGCATTACGCCATTGGTTTTGAACTTAAAAACATATTCATGTATTCTTCGAAAAAATTTGATATATTGCTATCATCAATATCAGGCCGCTGATATACATGTACGTGTATCAATATCGGCAATTATCTATAATCGATGGAGCTTACATTGTACATGTGCATACGTGTCCGAACTGGAACCAATGTTTGGCAAAACTTTCCGAACCATGTCTAAACTAAACTGGAACCAAACCTTCAAGCTTACTTGCAGCACTACTTGAAGGGCAGTATGAAGTATTTTGCTGCTTTCTGTCATTAAAATGATCTTCATCCTGACCAAAGAATATGATGTAATAGAATGGCAATGTGCCCATGTTTGGTATTGTTGGGAAATTTAACCTTAACAATTGTACTTATTATTTCTTTCTCCTTTGGGAATGGGTAATAGTCCTTGTTTCTTTAGAAACTTGTATTCCCATATTTCACTGATCTCAGAAATACTATGGCAGTTGTCATCTTTTTGGTCAGCAGAGTCCTCAAGAGGTCTTTAGGAATTAGTACGGCAGATTCATGCAATCTCCGGTATTCCAAATTGCTTCATCTATCTACATGTCATATGTTAACCTCTTGCTGCTGGGGAACCCCGTTTCAAGCACCATGGGCTTATACGCAGAGACCTGGTGCTGGAAATGGGACAAAAGAGTTGGTCCGTGTAACAAAAGACCGTACTCGGAACAAAAGACCTGCTGCTGGAAATTGCCTTAGTTTTTCGGCTTGCATTTTTCAAAGGTAATCCATTACTGTTTTTAAACAGTGCACCACTGTTTTGGGCATAGCGCGCCCAAAAGTGAGCAACACAGCACATGCTAATCCAGCCGCGTTTGAAAAGACTTCACTCACATTTACTGGGGACAAAGGAAATTATGCAACAATTCTGGGCTCTCTCTACAGGGTAGCAGGCCTGGCTGAAATATTCCAAAGTCAATGAAGGTTACCTGTCCGCTTAGAGTAGCCACCAAAGAGTCATTCTTGTGTGTGTAAACATCCATTACATGAAATGATAAATTTTTGAAGAATTTAGAAAACTGAAAATCTTGAAAATCTCCCATCTGTGTGCACTGCATTTTTCAAAGCATCTGGCAGCATGTGGTTAAGGTACAGCTAGTATTTACAGACTGTAGTAACATAATTGTTCAAAAGCAAGATCCATGTCTCGCTTTGTTTATAAGAAATGGGTTTTGCATTACAATAATTTTAATTGCATAAGTTGTGTGTTATATCTTGTGAATGACTTTGCATACATGGATACATGTACATGTAGATGTAAATAAATCTGTGATTTAGCAGAATGCTAACCTTGTGACGTGTGAGGAAGTTTCACTGTCTTTGCATGTAAATCAAAGGTCACATTGTATGTTCACAGAGGTATGGTATTGGTACGGTACATACCTGTACATGTAGTTGTTGGAATGTGATAAGCTACACATGTACATGTACATGATCAGCTTATACCAGATACTGGTAGAGATTTGTTTTGGACATGTTCTTGTATTTATACCCCCAGTTTGTCAACACACTGTAAAAGCTTAGAAATTGTTGAAGAAATAGGCACATACAGCATATAGACTGAGTCTGTCTAATAAGTGAATTCAGCCATGGGAGCTTTCCAGTATCCGGCCATGTACATTCCTCTTACAGGGCCGGACATCGGTGATTTAACAATTTGGATTATTTACTCACGCATTAACCTTTGGAAAGTCAAAGTACTTTGTGAAAAACTTGTCATCACTTCAAACAAGTTATCAAGTTTTCTTAAGGAAATTAGTAACTTGTGTTGCATAGAACCCAGCCCTATCTGCTCAGGAAGCCAGTCCCTGTAGAATTCACAGAAAGAGGTCAGAAAGTGCAGAAATTTGTGTACTCACGCATTTGACATTGGATTTTACTGATTGACTGATTGCAGATGCTTTGAAGGGAATCTCTGGCTGTCAGTGTACATGTACATTCATGGTGAAACACTGTACGTGTATGCACAGTCATGCTGAGCCAATCACGTATCGCTGTAATAGGTACTCTTTGAATGCTAGTTACAATTGTTGGATTGTACATGTATGTGTTTAGAGCATATTCCAGCTTTAAAGTTGCTGAGTTGGTTTTAAGAACTTAAAATGTGTAGTTTCATACCCTGAGCCTCATGTTAGCTTCACCATTCTGCAGTAGTACACATTACCAGCTACTAAATAAATCTCCTTATGGCCAGGCGGTCCATTCTGCTTTTTTCCACTTTCCCTTCCCTGGTTAGTACTGGCATATGGACATTCGTGTCTTGTCAAACCAATGTTCAGATGCCCGTACTGTCTGGTGTAGGGGTAGTCTCATCTCTTAGCCTTGCTGTCAAGCTTTGCTTCACTTCTTTCAGTCAAAGCTCATCTGCTGGTCACTCTGTGCTGCTTGGGATTACTCGTCTGCACATCTTCCTTTGTGGTGCTGGGGATGTTCTTCATTTAGAAAAGAGCTTTTATCCGATGCTGAATCTTCTCAACATGCAGGATATTGTAATTTTTGTTATTTTCTAGGTTTGTAATAAAATTGTTTAGCATGTTGGTATCTTTAGGGCTGTTACTATCCATTCATCCATGTACATGTACTACCCTAGTGGTACCTTAGCTATGAGCAGCGGTTGATGCCCAACTTCCATGACGTCCTTGCAAGTTCAAGAACTTCAACAGTCCAATGAACAGCTTACCATTTGTCATTTTGTATGTACATGTATGTATTTGCTCACGCTACCGGTATTATCAGACCAGGTACTTTAAAACTGTTCAACTGTTTTAAACTGTTTTTGAATTGTACAGTGTATGTTGACGCATTGGTTAAAGTTGAAGATAAAGTTTGTCTGAGCTTAATTTAGACTTGTCAGTAGGTTTAGTGAATATGGCAATGTTCTATTGCTGCTTCGAGTTTGGAATTGTGTGGTGCCTTCACTGTTGGTGTAATGATTTAAAATGCTGATATGATGAGATAATGACGTGTTTGATTATTAGAACCACTAGAACTTTTAATTTAAGTCCAGTGTCTTGTTGCTGGTGATTTATTGAAAAACAAGGCGAAACAGAAAAATTGATGATGAAGTATTTGATATTTACTTCCTTTTTTTCCAAATCTTGTTGAGAGAACTCATTTTTTAAATTTAACGTACCTGTAAGTGTACATGGTTGTAAGTGGAAGAAATTTTGAGGACGAAGTTTTGTCTGTTTTCATCTGGAGTGTTGATTTAATGTAATATAAATGATGTCGTTTTTTTAAAGGCTGCATCAAGTTTGGCCGATACTGAGTCTGGAAACCTTCAATTTGTGAAAAGCAGCAGTGACTTCACACTCATGCTGTGGGGGAATCTCATCAAAAACCCACGGTAGGATGATGGATTTCTCATTATCTTGCAAAGGACTTACAATGGGAAACAGGACTACAGTTTGAAAATGGTTGCATGTAGAAAGATTCACCTTAAGCTTTGTTGGAATTATCAAAGTTTTTAAAAACCAAACCATCTATTATTCAAATATTCAAAAATGCTTACTTTCCGCTTTCTATTTGTTTCAACATTTGTGCATATTTTGTTGTTGTTACAGCTTCAAATCATATGAATTTGAAGAAGAGAACTTCATCTTTGAATTGCCCAAGCAGCTAGCATTGTCAGATATCGCCATCCGTGTCCTCCGTACACAGTACGATCACTACTCACATCTCTGCAGAACCTTTCATGCAAAGAAGAAGAAGAAACCATCCATTGTAATGGAGGCAGTTGTACATGAGGATGAAGACAAAAAAGAGAAACCAGAAGAAGCTGGCAAGACCGAGGAGGAAGAAGGAGCAGTAAGTGCTGAGGAGAAGCAGGTCAGCATTATGGACAGTCACAAGTCAGCTTTCCTTACATATAGTTTAGACTGTATTCAGTCGCTATCATTGCATGCTTCTGATGTAACTCTGTCATGCTTCCTACATTTCATGTGTTAAGTGTCAGTGAAATGTTCGGTGTCTTTACCCTGCCAGTAAAGATTTGCAGTTTTTCAACTAAGCCATGCTGATTAGTGAGGGACTGTGGTAGCCTGAGATAATCTTGACACAGTTGCACTTTGACTCGTACCAATTCTCATTTTTTTATTACCCTTAACTCATACTCATGAAGTTAAATTGATGGCCTTCATCTCCAATCAGCATGTGTGTAGGAAAATTGTGGAAGTGTACACTATTTATTTGTATTGCTCAGGATGGAGAAAGTGACAAGGAAGAGCAGGAGGAAGGCTTTGATGAAACAGATGAACCCAAACCACCAAGTCCATCAAGAACACCACAGCAAACACAGCCTGCACAACCTGGTAGGTTTTTCAGTGAATATGTGGTCCACTGTATCTTGTATCACTGTACAGTTCTCCCTGTGTGTCAACCTGTTATCAAACCTGACTTTTTTCTTATCAGATCCTGAGGAGGTGGAGGAGGAAGATGAGGCAGAAGAGGAGTATGATCAGGAAGATGAGGACACCGTTGATCTGCGAGCATACCAAGTCTTGGGTGGGGTGATTCACCTGGATCTCTTGTCTCTGCCCCCGCAGCCCAAGCAAGTCAAATCGTGGGTTATGACGCAAGGTGAGACATGACATGTACATCATTTGCATTAACTAAACACAGGTACATACATCTGTTGGAGCAAACCAACCTATCCACCTTGTCCTGCAATGATTTAGAATTTTCCATTGTTCTGCGCAAGAAGCAGGATATAGCTTTTAGCATGGGGGGTAAGACTAATCTACACAAGTGTCAAGTAATGCTGAGCTGAGGTGGTGCTTCCTAAGTGAGAAAAGACCTTGGGCTTTAATTAAACACTTAATACACCAAGTGATGTCCTGTACGTGGGAGCAATGATATATGTGATGGTAACACCCAGAGCTATATGGTAGGCCCCAAGAGTCTGTTTCATTTGGTTCTTGAGTGTTTTGTTCTGTGAACACCCCCCCCCACTCATTCCAGTGCATACATGTATGTGTCGTCTTTCAAGGCTGTGACCACAAGATAGTATTCATCATCACTGAAGTGACATAATGCACAGGAAATGAAGGTGCACATGTCAACTGTTTAATGTTCAGCAGATGTTAGGATGACACAACAATTGACAGCGTTAATCATGTTGAATAGTTTCCAAAATGGACTAAATTTGGGAGCATTATAATGAAAATCCTTTCTGTTACTACATCTATGTTTTGCGTTTATGACACTAATGCTTGGTACAATACAATTCCAACTCATAACAGTTGGCAAACTGTCCTGATCAAGCACTTCAGATTTTTTCTTGTTTCAGTTACTCCTGTTTTTGCTGGAGGATGAACAGGTTAACCACTTCCTGCCGGGGACTCCGGAATCGGAGACGTATGGTTTATATGCGAGGCTAGGGTTTCGAACTCGGACAAAGGAAACAGGGCCCTGTAACAAAAGATCATACTCCGAACAAAAGACCATGCTGCTGGGCATTACCGACATTTTTCACTCTTGAAAATGGTGATAATCCAGCCCTGTTTTGAAACCATATACCAAAATGTTTGGGGCATTGAGAGCAAGCAAATTACCACCGGGGACAAAAGTGTTCCACCACGGCAGCAA